GTTTCAGAGCTGTCTTGTCTTTTTCATACCGGAGAGGTTCGGATGATGGCGGGCTTGTGTGCTCTTTTCGTTAGACCGAGAGTGAGTGAGCGTAGAAATATGCAAGTGGTAGCTTCAAAGGATCGTCAGAAGTGGTAAGTGCGGCTATAATGAACTCGAGAGAGGGTGGTTCAGGGACTGGTCTGATTTAGAAGGCCCATAGGTTCCACTTGCTGGACGAAGGTCAAGAAGTTTGGAGCATTGATTTTTATCGGGATGCAGGGCTGAAGGTTGCTGTACTCAGTTCCTCAAAGTGGTTGTTATATGACTTTTCTAATCTCGTTCGAACTGTGGTTTGCATTTAATCTTAAATTAGTGGGTTTGGCGGTTTGAATGAGGACGCTTCTGTAACAAAAACATCTTACTTTTGTTTGATATTTGTCCTATATTTCTTCAGTCGCAAGTCGTAACGATTTAAGGGAGAGTGTCCTGTTATCACTTTTTTCGAAAATGCAAATGTCAGGTGATGACGATAATTGTTGTTGTAAATTTAACTTAATGATTATGAATAGCCGTGCAGAGAAGTTAGTATTCATTATTATTTATCATTTATTATTTATTTTTTATTACTTATTATTTATTATTTGTTACCTATTGTTTGTTATTCATTTTTATTATTGTTATTATCATTATTATTATTATTATTATTATTATTATTATTATTCATTATTATTATTATTATTATTATTATTATTATTATTATATCAATGATATTATAATAACAGTAATACCAATAACTAATACCGTTATCAAAATCTTGACAAGCTTGGAGGGCTTTTCTGCAGATGGCCATGATTTGTCCAAGGAAAGACGATGTATGAAATAAAAGAAAGATATGCATATATATAAAATCAAGGTAAAAAAAAATGAAACGATTTTGGCTGCTTTATTGTTAGTGAAAACAGCGACAGTAAGCGTACACTTGACATAACTTTTGAATGTTGCATAGACTTTATACAGCAGTTAGATTGGTTTTGCACAATACAAAAAATAAAACTAAATCAAACTAACATTTAGGAAAATCGGTTCCAGTTGAATAAAATACTACGGAAGAGGTTAATTACTGTAAATCTTTTTGCATCTAGACAAATTATTTTGTTTTTGGCGATATTGTATAGCTCGTATGAATGCCAAGTTCTTTAAGTCGACGAAGCGTTGGTCTATACACTTCTCTGGTGATTGGTCTTAACATACCTTTTCTTTGTACTTCACCTGCAAACAAAAAACAGTTGTTTAAGCAAAAAAGATTGGATCACTTTAGTTGCTAAATCATTTATTTTCAAGAAGGAAAATTTTTTCAATTTTTGTGACCAGAGTTATATGACAGAATTGTGACAAACAGATCATACCGCTGATTATCATATTGGATACAATGGCAACTGTGTATCCAACAGTTTTGGCCATTGCTGAGAATCCATCAGGATCACCGTATGCTACCAAACTGATTCGATGGCATTCCTGTGAAACATTTAGTTGTTTTTACTCGGCACATTTAAAAATTGAGCATCCATAATTGTTTGCCTTGTGAAAAAGTCGCTATCGAAAAAGATGAATGTTTTTTGAAATTTTTTTCAAACTTATAAAGACAAGAATATACTCGAGATCCTCCCTGCGTTTGGACACCAATGTCATGGTTCAGGATGACCAAGTCTTTTTCACCAGACTTGTACGCAAGTTCTTTGGTCAGATGTGCTGCTAGCGTATCAATTGGTGTTCCATGTTTTTCAACCATTACAGTTTCTGATAGAAGTTTTAGGCTGCAATATTTAGACGGTCTACTACTGTATCAGCAGACGATACACTGTATCATTTTCTTTGAAAATGTCATGTCCGCTACTTACTCTTCCAGTGTTTCGACAAAATTTGGGATTTCATTTTCATATTTGTCACGCAAAACCTTTTTCAGCTGATCAACAAAGATGTCCTTTGGTTGGTTGACCAAAGTTGCTATGGCTTCCTTCTAAAAACAAGGTAAAAAATAATGATGATGCAGTGGAGTATTTTTGTTGTTCTATCTTTATCACTGTAATCTGTAAAACCTTGTAAGGAATAATTACTGAGTTAAGTGCTCTGGCGCTATAAATTCCAGAACACAATGATAAGAAATGGTCAAATTAGGTACCCAAGAAACATCGGGACCTCTGGCGGGATTGAACACCTCAAGACGTTGATCACTTATTAGATTACATTTTCGTAATGCGTTGAAAGCTTCAACGAATCCCTAAAATTACTATGACACTTATATTTTGTTCTCAAAAAACGGTATGGTTAATTAAACTACGAGAAATGGAACATACAGAACTTTTTGATGGCCTATTCATTTTGTCTATCCAGCTATAAATTTACAGTAATGACTGTTGATTAGAATACTTAACTTAAATCGAAGTGTACCGCGCAACAAGGTTTTACATTCAGGACCAAGACCATAGATTTCCGAATATTTAGTTGAGTCACGATTTGGATAGCCAATCAAGCTAAAACCAGGCATATAGTCTATAGGATATAAGTTATTTAGCACTCCTCCGTCACCTTCAATTTCGACAACTTTTCCATCCATCAAATACCGAGCCGGATTTTTAGTTGCCAGCAGAACACCTTTAGGACTCCAACTAAAAAAATTTTTTTGCATTACTAGTGCACATCTGCTGATTAAACAGTGATACAAGTAAAAATGTCGGCAGCTAAGTCTTCATAATGCTGTACCTAAATTTATATCTCAAAGGATTATCTGAGCATTCTGGAGCCGGCATACCACCACAGAAGCTTGTGAACGACGTGATCTGTAAAATCTTATCGAGTAATTATTGGACAAAATCTGACGCAGAATGAAGCCGCAGTATCAGTGAAGTAAAAAGCATTGTTAATATAAATTTACTTTTTTATTCCAATAGTTATTTTCATTAATCGTTGAAAGTGTATTTCTTTTTTTTTTTTATTAATTGTTATACCTTTCCGCCATGTTCACGAACTTGATCAAAGCACTCCATAGCAAGCATATGATCTATACCCGGATCTAGACCGGATTCGTTCATAATTGTAACTTCAGCTTCCTTAGCCCTATAGTAACCTTCATATGAGAAAATAAAAGAGCATTGATACAATAACGATCAAATGCATCAGTTTCTTAAAATTGATCACATGTGCAGTTATGGATAAGATTACTAAAATTGCATAAGAAAGCCCTGTAAGCGAGTAATTTTAAATTGCATACTTCCGCAACTACACGCGAAAACCAGTCAAAAGAACTAACTCTTCGTCCAAAGCTTGCAGTTCCGGACTGATGTAACTACTCGTGGCCATATTTCTTCGATTTTTGATGCACATTTTGGCAATCATTGGATGAAGTACGTAAGGTAATAAAGAAATCGTAATATCATTTTCTCTAAATTGAATTTTCTGTCTACTGATCAAGTCTAATCTACAGATTATTCACGTAGTTAAAAAGTACCGAATACATTTAACTGTCATGAATATTATTTTACCGTATGCATTTTTCCAGTTGTTCAGGTTCACGCATAACATCCAGTATCGTTGCAGATATATTATTACCGTAGGAACACAACCTGTCACCGTCTTTTTTGAATTCAGTCGCTAAAAAACGGATAATAAAATAACAAAAATCTTCATCGAATTAGAAAGTAAAACTAAAATAGAACAATGAATTATGAACATACAAACAGTAAGTAACACGTCTTCCTTTGATGCAAAATATTTTGCCACCGGATCGGAAACCATCCCGGCTCCCAGAAGTAGTACCCGTTTTTTATGTTCTCCTGTTATTCCACTTGTTTTTGGCTTGCTAAATAAACGCCGTTAATTTTTTCTAGTTCTTGAAAACTAGCTAATGTTGACCAACTTCATTGTGACAGAGAAAAAAAAATGCCCACTTTTTTTCTTTACGTAATTCATCAATATATTGATAATCGGGTGTCAAACTCCCCCGATCGGTGATGATCGCACGTTTAATCTCGTCTCGACATTGAATTCTATCCAGCGGTATCTCGGTAGCACAGTTTAGCTGAAAGGTTTTAAACAGCTCTCAAAGTTACCCTTTAAGGGTGTTAATCTATCAGAATCAGACACCAGTCAAATTTAATTTTTAAACGTGATTTTGCCATTGTAAGTTAATATGCTTCATGTCCTTTCCTAAAATTCCTGCAGTGATGGTCACGCTTATTTCTTCAACTTTTCACTATACCGGTCAGATTAAAAAACTTATTCTTTGGAGGATAACTTTTACCATGTCGGGAATATATGGGCACAGAAGATTTCCGAATTGTTCTGTTGCTTCTAACGGCATCTGAGCTGGCATATTGTCGACACTGCATACCAGACATCCAGATGATGTATTAAAGCTGTAAAATGTAATTGATTTTCGAGCTTTTCGACAGTTTTTGCAATCCTTTTAGAGTAACAGGTACTAATCATGTTAAAGATTAAACATTGAGCAGTTGTTATCACAACAGTAGTACTACAATGACTGTAGATAAGCTACCTATCTGAACACTGGTTCATATCAGCATCATAGATGGTAAACGGTTTGTCGATTGTTGTACATTCCCTCATGAACTCAATGGAACCGCATGGATCAGCTGAAATATCCGAAATGGCTATAAGCCTGCAAAGAAAAAATAACAAAGAGAAGTGCTATCTGATATTATATAAATTATGCGCAAGAAAAAGAATCAAAGCAACAACAAGCATTTATTAGCTAACCTGTGTGGTAATGATGGACAACCCGGTATGTCGTGGCGATTATACTTTGGTGTCAAAAGGTTAATAGCATCAGGAATCGTTATTAGTCTTGGACTGTTTACGTCCCAATAAATACAGTTAATGATTACCGATGCATACGGCGCTACCTGTAAACAAATAATTAATGAGCACTAAAATGAAGACAAATAATTCTTTACTTTCGATTTACATATCTACAATGTTATTAAGGGTTTTTGTTTGTATTAATAGCAATTTAACAACTACGAAAAAATGGCTATCAAACTAAAGATCAGCAGAAGTATGGAAAAAGAAAAAAAAAATTTATAGTTTAGTGTTAAAATGGTGTTATTTTTGCATGTTCAAATAATTAACTCATCAACTAAGTTTAATCATCAAAAGTGCAGCTGATAACCAGTAAATATGAAAGCCAACTTCAGTAGAAAAAAAAAA